TTGCTGGGGCACTTGTAAAGCAGATGAGCGCTAGCCAGCCAGATGAAATGGAGGACGATTTATTTTGATTCCTAAGAAAAAAACTAGCCTAGAAAAATGCTTGAATTGGATCAAAATGTACGGAAAAAGCACGAAGTGCTCAAAGTACAAGTCATGAAAAATAATTAAATCATTTCTCTAGGCCTTTTTCAAATTGACTTCAGATTGTTTTTAACAAAAGAAACAGAAAATTCATCGGAAATTCTATCGACAAATCGTCCAATCGACAAATGTCATTTACAAAAAATCGAAAGCATTTGTGGGACAAGCGCGAGCGTTCGATTCCCGTGCTTTCTTCTGATTGGATAATCGCATGCTCGTGCTTGATTTGTTGGATCTATGAATTCCCCAGATTGATGGGTCATGCTTTTGATAATAACTGATGGATTACTTGTTACATACCCCTCCGCACATTCCAACTTGTCCAGATGTTTTTCTGCTGCCCTTTTCCCATGGTTCAAGATGGTCAACCTGAATATCAAGTAGACAAAGCTTACTTAAATTAATTAAGTTAAAAACTACCCAAAAAAATGCAAATATATCCAAAACTTGAATAAGTAAAGACAAGAAAAGTTTTTATGTAGATTTCTTATAGATAGCTCAAGAGTGTACTATTTAAGAACACGGCCAAACATATTTTCAAGTCAAACAGMAAAAAAAGCTAATCGTACGTAATTCTTACGTTCGTAAYACGGTATCGCCATGGATGAAGAACCCTGGTCGAGAGACGAGCCTTGACCGGCCCTTACCTTGTAGTATATCTCATCAACAACTTCATGATAGGTCTTAAGTTGATAAAGCTGGTTCTTGAAGTAAGGAGACTGAAGTACATTCGTTAAAATCATGTTGTTCAAGTTCATGGTTCGTTCGCTTCCCCATATCGGTAAAACGTTGGATTTTTTCGACGGCCTGCCTTCATATTGYACGTTTTCTTCTGAATCCATCRCGATATTTTTACACTAGGCTATMTAATTGCGCTGTTTTTARCAGTTAGCTCTTGAGTTTATCAAAACATTTTAAAAATCTTGTAAAAAAAAGAATCCAACGCTGTCCAAAATGGCGGACCTTCAAACAATAGACCATAATATGCACCGACTAGTTCTAGTCTTCCGCTGTCAGAATAGTGACACGGGAATCCCAACTTTCTCCCCACTTCTCCCTCCTTCTCCCAAGGAAACAACAAAACAATAATTTAGAGTGCTTTATAAAAAAACGAGAAGAAAAAGCAGTTTTGAAATTATTGCCATTATTTGGATGATAACTTTTTTGTGCAATTGGTTCCCGTCCCTTTTGACACAATACAAATGTCGCGTCGAATCGAATTACGCCACAAGTATTCGCATCAGCTTTGAAAACTATAAACTCATAAATCAAAATATATATATGTCTTTATTCAAACCAATAAACTATACAATTTYAATGTTTAACAGTCTTTACCCCGAGATATCCGCCTGGTTGGTAATGATAGTAAATAATACTTGATTGAGGTAAGTCTAGCCTGATGTACCCTGACTTTCAGTTATAGATTAGACTATCATTGCCACCCGCCTCCAAGCGTTTTCCCGCCAAAAACTGCACGCGCGCTCCGTGACCGCATCCCAATACAACCAATACAATACAATACAACCAATACAACCAAGACTGCAGCCAGGCAGAAAAACACGACCAAGAAAGTTATGTCAAAATCTTTTATCAGTCAAAACTGTGTATTCTTGTGTTATCTCTGCATGAACTTTCACGATACATTATTAGCCAAAATTCAGCAATTCTACAATATCATAAATAGATGAAATGGCACTGTTGGCGGTCTGTTTTAGAGTGTTAGTCAAATATTGCAAGTTCACTTTGAGAGTTTGCATCAGATAGAAATACGTGGAACGCTTCTTTTCAATGCACTTGAAGTCAATCACTATCTGACCCTGAAAAAAAAAAATAAATAAAAGGTTTAAGATCATTTGTAAGCTCAGTATAATATATTACCCAAGTCTGAAACGTTTTCCTCATTCAAAAAGCTATAAAATATACTAGTGCGTAACATTTGTTACAGCGCCATGCACTGTTCAATTAGTTTAGTTTTTCACGGCAAAGTTTTTGCTTATTCGCTTGTTTGTTTTTGCTCTCTGCGTGTTTCAGTCTCAAACTGTTTATCGGCTGCAAGGAGAAAACAAGAAACGTGGACGCCGCAAATATGAACAGCATTTCCAAGTGTAATTTTACCCCGACAAACGTTTTCTAGCTATTTCCCGTAATAAATTCAGTTCGAAAGGCAAAAACGTTAACCGTCAACTTGTCTCGGAAAGACGGAAATATTGTTGTTGTTCAAGTTCGGACTCGATGTTTCTCGTTTTATATCTTGTCCGAGGATTGAAACTATTGCGCATCATCAAAAAAGGCCATGAAAAACAACAACAAACATTGAAGTATTCAACAAAATTGATTTTTTTGATATTCATGTATTTCTCCGCACCTAAATCCGTCGCAACACTTTTGAATCTCCAAAAAATCTCATTAAAAAAAAGATGTTTTGTATAGTTTTGCCTTTATGTTCATTTATATACTAGTACGTTGTAGCATGCAGTTTTCGATTAGTTAGAAAATATATTTCTTCGCCAGTTTATATTTCCGTGCACGACTGGCTCATTTGTACACAATGGTCTGAGGACGTTGTTGGCCTTACAGAATGATCACCAGACGATTCCTTTTTTACTGCGGTTAGCACAGATTTATAAAATGCTTCCCTTTAAAAATTATTGGCGACATTATYCTGGGGTTTTGCACGCGCATTTGATGTACAGTCAGTACTGTACTTCCAGTTGATGTCGCGCCGCACATTGAGAAAAATACTACGAACTGATAAATCAAAAACGCCGGTAAAAAATTAGTTGACAAAAAAAGACAAGCAGCCGGTTCAAAACCGMCTTTTTGAATCCTTTATAACTAATAAATTGATCTAATTTTGAAGGGCCACTTTCATCGCTTTTGACAACTAAAACCTTGTATTTCTTTTCTTTTCTTTTTTTATGGTTTTGCCTTTTATTATATTTCTTTCGCGGTCACTAACATTGCGCTTACCCAACCGCCTTGGTTCTTGATCCACACGGCTAAGTGGTCATGGATGTACATGCGAACACAGTGCAAAACACACTTGACAAGTTCTTGCCTCCCTCCCATGACACAATCTTCACTGATCGAAGCAGCAAACGCAAATAGTGCTGYCACTTTCGCCCAAGTCGCACCATCGCGAAACAACTCMCGTCCAAATGTTTTGAAGACATCGTTAATGATCACTTCACTTCGTAGTCGAACTCGCAGATTTTTAGAAGCGTTGTTGTACAAGTGAGGATACGCTGTTTCCAGGAGCTCACCTATTTCRATAATTTTAAYCGAGACAGCAGTGCAAGTTTCCGAAATGTGATCCGGCCGCACAAATTCTAAGCCCGAGTCAATGTTGAGTCTTTTAAATCGCGCTTCGATGTAATTCAAGCAGTAAAGGTTCGCCTCGTTTGATATAGCCAGATATTCCTCATTCAGCTTTGCTGTTATCATCGGCTTGAGACGTTTAGTGATCGATTTTAACATGATGGAATATGTGGCTCTTAAATTCAGTGCTAGTCTGACTGCTTGTGCTTGTGTCGCTCCCGCCTCGCTCACCGTATTTTGACAAGACAGTCGATCCTCTGTGGAAGGCAATCGTGATAGGTAATCATACTCGCGATTTGATTCGCTGTTTTTCAAGCGACTTTTCATCCCTGTGTGACCATCAAAACAGGTGGTGCGCTAAAATGGTTGCTAATGGATACCACTTGACGACTTTGACTTCGCTGTATGCTAATGACACTGAAGTTTTTGTTCAATTTCTCCAAATGAGATCTTCAATGTTTGCAATTATATTGGATGAATAAAAGCCTTGTTGAAATCAAGGGGATTTAATGGATTACTGGAACAACAGTTTAGTATTGACTGTCAGTTGCTTTTAAATTGAATGGCTGACCGTCAAGAATAAACGCTATCAATTCATACCGACTCTAAAGTGATTAGTTTCTCTTCTTTTTCCAATTACAGTAAAAGAAACGTGACAAACATTAATATAAAAAAAAGCAGACAGAGGAACAAATCAGAAAGAGAGAGAGGGAAAAAAAACCGGAACGAAACGTAAACCCGACTACTGATGAGAATTTGGTCAGTCACTGAATTTGGTGTCAGCGGCTGCTTTTATATATAACGAACATGCAACATGCGAACGACCCTATATTTAGAGAACTATATGGACCACAAATGTTTTGTTTCTGATCTGCTTTGTAATATTTGCGGCTATCTTTAACGTCTGAGTCTACTGAGCTAACAGTGCGGTTAGTGACCGCGATGCATATTTTTGGTTGAGGGACTAAATAACCACCACCTGAGGCTGAATCAAATGGAGGGACCAGGAGGGGAGGGACCGATGAATTTTTGAAATTTTGAACCTGGAAAATACGCGATTTCCACCGCATGAGTGGGTTTCGAGACTATATTTTATGCAGCAAATCTATCAAAATATTACTTGATGCTGCTAACTGAAAAGTATATAGGGGTCTAATTAACATTTTCTTTAAGTTTCTAAAAATTATTGGCGGTTAGTCCGGTGTCGATCAACTACTCTGTGAACAGAGCTAGTTTTCACACCCTCTCTCGCTTCTCGGCTGGTGAGAAAACTAGCTCTATCACGCGCAGAGTATCGCCATCAACCGGTCTTTACCAGAAAAATCATCCCTTCATTGTAAAACACAAAGAACAATCAGTGATGATTATTWAAATCAAGGATATTTTTTAAAAAGCCGGGTTAGGGGCGGTCCATTTGATATTTAATTTGTGTGTGTGTGTGTGTCGAGCAAGCTCTCCAACGTACCTAAAAAAAATATCAGTGCAACACCAATATTAGACTGATTCCATAAGTCGTAGTATTCGCTCCTCGATTTTTCGGTTTGCCGCTCAAACTAGCCGGGATCGAAACAAAAGCGACCTGACAGACTGGTGGAATCAGTCTACACCAATATGGCAAAAAAAACATATCGAGCATGGGTAGTACCGACTTATTTTAACCAAATGAAATATTCAACTCTTCCACCCCCACCCCACCCCCCCTTCTTCGTAGCAGGAGGTGGAAAACATCGTCTGTCTTGCTCGCTTATCCAACTTTCAARTTAAACTTAAATCTGATGTGTAGTTATGTAATAACAATGCAACGTTAGGGTTATTAGGGGGGGGGATTTAACAAATGGTCCGTCCGTAGTATATAGCTTATATGTATAAATGACAAATTACACTGTAAAATAAAATATCGTGCAAAAGCTTGGTACAACAAAAATGTCCTGCAGTACTGGAGGGCGAAAAAAAAAATTCGAGCACGATAAAAATCTACCCATCCCCCCTACAAAAATCAAATGGTCCGTCCCTAATTCTAAAACTTGTTCTGCTGTAAAGAGAGTCTTTTGCCTGCCTCAGTCAGATTTCATTTTCATTTTYATTTGTTTTGTTTCAGTGTGTTCCCCTTTTTCCAGGTATCATGTCGTCTGCTATGGTTCCATCACCTGTCTGCCCGAAATGCGACCTTCGGCCAATACTCCGATTTCGAGTTCTGGTTTGCTCTGTGTTAGCCTCAAAACCAACAACATATTCTTTTGTTTCATTGATAGCCCGAGAAAACGCATGGAATTTGAAAAGAAAGACAATGGAATTGATTTGAAATCTCACACTTTTATTCTCACAATTAGGAATATTTTGCGCACAAATGAGGCTATTAAACACAGAGCATTGGAGAATTCGAAACTGGATTATTGAATCATATAAACTTTATACCAGAGTACCACATTAGTCTTGCATTGAAGTTCTATTACAATTTACACTTAAAGATGAAAGATAGCGAAAGAGAGACGCATACATGTAATCATTTAATATTAGTGGTGCAATTTTAAGAATGCAAAAAAAGTCCCTTCGGTAGGGGATTCCCCCTAATTAAATATTCACATAACTGGCAACGTCACAAGACTGCCCATATTAGATAGTTCCTCTTTCGACTTTCTTTGTGTCTATATATCTACCTCTATAATTTTTCGAGCCTAAGAAATTGGTTTCTATTTGGTCATTCACTGGGATCCGTATCAAAACACTTATTTTTCGATGAAATTTCTGTCCGGACACAAAACGGTCTGTGCATGGAACTAGGCACAGACCATAATAATACTTTTAGTTTCCCCCAACCAGGGTAGGGTGAAATTGCCTAATATACACTGCATTTTTTAAATAATTACACAGTAATATAGCCAAAAACATTCACGAAAATGAGAGAAGTATATTTGYAAACGTAGCGAAGAAAGCAAAAAGCTTAAGTCTCTAAAAAAAATTAACGGAAGTAGATTTTGTTATTCAATCCACTTAGCCGTCCCCCCCACAGATTTCTGCGAAGCGAAGAAAGTTGCTCGTAAAGCATTTTTCGTTTCAGATTGTGGTGAAACTTTGTTKGGCTGTTAAACGCTTATAAGTAAGTTTTCTCTCGAGGGTTTACAATACGACTGTATCAAGTACGGTCCGTGAACCACATCTACGAGTCAGAGCAGCAAGAAAGGTTAGATTCCGAGAACACAAACTTTATTTTACGCCACGCCACGCCACGACGATCGACATCGTTTCAAGGTCCAAAACGCAACAARGATAAATTCTTGTTTCAGACTTTTGAAAGTGTCATATAAGTCTTAAAAAGAATGGCTGGTCAACAACAACAACCACCAGACGTTGAAATGAGAGACGACGAAGTATCGCAAAGACAAAAGTTGAAAGAAAACCAAGTCCTCAACGATGCAGGAGGTTACGTTTGGGCGGTCGATAACATGGTTAGACTCMAGCGATTTATCGTAATGGGAACCGAAGGAGGAACTTTCTATGCAACCCAAAAGGATCTGRGMATAGAKAATGCAAAGGCCGTATTGGCTTTGATCGAAGAAGGCAAAGGAGTCGAAGCTGTTGGGGTCATCAAGGAGTACAGTGTTGAAAACAGAGCTGCTAAACAAGACCCCTTGATTTTTTGCCTTGCTCTCTGCGCGCGTTGTAAACATGAAGAGACCAAGCGAGCAGCCTATGAAGCCATCACTAGTGTACTGMGAATTCCAACACACCTTTTCCAGTTTGTTGAAGCCTGTGAAACAGTCAGCAAGCCCACAACAGGGTGGGGTAGGGCACACAGGAAAGCAATCTGCAAGTGGTACAACAACAAGAAACCCAGAAGCCTTGCAACACTTGTGACCAAGTACAAACAGCGCAACAACTGGTCTCACCGTGACTTGTTTAGGCTTTGCCACATCAAGCCTGARRATAAATCCACTGAATTTATTGTGAAGTATGTTGTCAAAGGTCTAGATGCCATCAAAGACGAGGCATGTGCAGCAGGGGTCAGTCATGATATCTCAAAAATGTATGAATTCCTCAGTGCTGTWGAAAAGGCAAAGACCATGTCCGAAGATGAGATGGCTGCTGCCATTAGGGAGCATGGACTTGTCAGAGAACATGTCCCAACCAATCTTCTAAAATCTCAAGAAGTAAGCTGTGTAGATGGTCATGTTTGAGTGGCAAACCCCTSCCCCTCCCCTTCCCCAGCTAAAAAAAAACCTAGTCAGAAATAACCCTAAAAGATACCAKAGTTTTATGAGGGTTGGGTATTGCAATAAAAGACGTATGTTACAGTTTACATGATGATAAAAAAGCAAATTTCCAGGCAACATAGAAAGAGAAAGGTACCCTAAAATTTAAGAGCTAAGAGCCAAAAACACCTTCACACACTTCACTCTTCCCTAAACGGTTTTAATTACCAGATCCCTGATTTTGACTCCTAAAACACACAATCTCCCTATCATTTAACAACTTCAAACCCAGATTCACCCGGAGGTAACAGCCATGTTATAACTGAAGTTTGAAGTACTGCTTTTACATTTGAAGATRACTATCAATTAAATCTGTTATAGGTATGGCGTGCATTAATGGAAAAAATGCCCATGACAGCCATGATCAGAAATCTTGGAAAAATGACTTCCATTGGCATCCTGGAACCACTGACAGATGAAGCAGAGAAAGTATGTGAACAACTAAGAAATGAACAAGTCTTGAAAGACTCTCGCATCCACCCATTCAATGTTTTGATAGCATTGAAGCAGTATGGAGTTGGTCATGGTGACAAGGGAAGCCTGAAGTGGGAACCAAGCTCTATGGTACAATCAGCACTTGATGATGCCTTCTACTTGTCATTTAAGGTRAATTRCATTAGGGRGGTAGTCAGGGGGAACACAGGGTACATGTGCACTCACCTATAACATCAAAAGATCTGCTCATTCATTCATTCATCAACAACAAACAAATAAAAAAAAAACATCTTAAATCCTTTTGGCTAGATCCATGTCGATCCGACAGTTTAAGATACATAGAGATGATTATAATTCCGAGGAAGGAAAACATCGTTTTAGGAAAACCCAAGTTTTGGATTAAGGAAAACAAAACGAAAAAAAACCCAAACGATTGTAGAGTTTTTTATTGTATTCGAACTCCAGACTCGTTGGGTTGTCCTAAAACAATGTTTTCCTTCCTCGGAATTATAATCACCTTTTGGCTGAATCTTGAGCTAAATTGTCTGTATCTCTTTTATGATAAAAGTCGACTCAATACGACTTCAGTGAAAATGAAATAAAAATTTACTCAACATTGGTAATTGGGTTTATAAAACTCATCAATATTCATAAGGCAAAACACAATAGAAATCATAGCCCATGAAGAGAGTTGGAAATCCACATTCAGATTCTTGTTCATTTGCAAAACTTTTAAGTCTGATTTTCTCGGTCAGATTGATTTTTTTTTTTCAAAAGTTTATTTAAAACCTGAGCAAGTTTACCTCAACGTTTCATAAGTAATATACAATGCGATCTGTATGAGGTTTAAAACAGCGAGTTGAAAGGCGTCACTCATATTGTATAATATATATAACATAAAGGTCATGTGAAAAGCATAAATAGTACTGTCCACTGATTAAATTCTTATTCAACAGATAAAATCCATGCAACATATAACACTTGCATAGCTTACATTTACTTTCAACCACCCTTCATAAGAATGATTGTAGAGTTCAAACCATTCACCATTATTCCTATTGTTGTAGAATGTTGAGCCCACTAACAAGAGATTCCTCTTGGCACTTGATGTAAGTGGCTCCATGTCATGGGGAAGCTGCAATGGTACTCCTGGCATCTCACCYGCTGTAGCATCYGCTGCCATGGCAATGACGACCGCTAGAACTGAGCCTAACCATCAGATTGTTGGGTTCTCTCACAAAATGGTGGAGATCAAGATCAAAGCTAAGGATAAACTGGAGACAGTGATTCAAACTATTTCTAAGGTAAAGAAAAGTTCAATATTTATTCCTTTTTTAAGATATCATAATTACTTCTAGAATCTCTATTAAACAAAGTGTTCCTTTTTGCTATATGACATGCCTCCTCCCACTTCCTGTGATGTTTCCTAGACTCCTTTCCCAGTGTTTCCACTTCACTCCAGTTAATAGGGAACTTCAGATTTGACAAGGAGTACGAGATTGAGTWCAAGTACRAGTTTTCAAACCASCTTTTATTGTTTTGTCCATACTGGATTTCAATCCACATGGCGATTTTATTTCTTTGATGTCTCAATCTATTCACAGGAATGCAATTCCTGATTAATAGCACACTTAAGGCCAATGTTAAAACTCATGCTCGATTGTCAAATCTGAAGTTCCCTATACCATGTCCGGTCCTAAGTGCATGTTCAGCCGTTGAAGACTTCTCAGGTTTTAGTTATCTCATATCAAAAATATTATTCACCGTGTTTAGGTCCCAATGGGAGGAACAGACTGTGCTCAGCCAATGATCTATGCTCTTGAGCACAAGAAGAAAGTTGATGTTTTCATTGTCTACACCGACTGTGAAACCTATGCTGGAGTCATCCACCCAAGYAAAGCCCTCCAGAACTACAGAGAGAAGATGGGTATTGACGCCAAACTGATTGTYGTTGCTATGACGTCAAATGGCTTTACCTTAGCTGATCCTGATGACCGTGGCATGYTAGATATTGCTGGCTTTGACTCATCTGCTCCCAGCATCATCAGAGAGTTTGTATTGGGAAACATCTAGTTATTTGAGCAGTTTAACATTTTAAGCACCACACTTATGCTTCATGCATGAGTTTTTCAAATATAACAGTACCACAACTCTATAGTCAATCGTCGTGATTGGTCCACTGTTTGTACTGTCTATTGTATCTAGTAGACTCCTCCCCAGGCAACTCTGTTTTCCTCCTTTGGGCTTCCTTTGTAACCGTCATCTTGTCCGTTTGGGACTAGTGACGAGAAAGGAAAAATAAGCTTGGGATGACCTACGTAGCACGCAGTTGATGTAATGTATTCATAAAATGTATTGTATTCCATTGTTTCTCGTTCTATTGTATTATGTGTTTTGTGTTATATCTTTATGAATATATTACATCAACTGAGTGCTACGTAGATTCTCCCAAATAAGCTTCCCTTTTCTCGCCCCCATTCTCCCTCTTTTGACTCCCAAAAAAGACAGGAAGCCCATGATTCTTAGTGATGCCTGCGGAGGAGGGTATATTGTATCAATATCAATAATTTTAGCACTTGAAAAATGCATGTTCACTTGGTAATTTTTTGAAAAACATCCTGAAGATTTGACATACAAAATTTGACATAATATTGGAAATTGAAAAAAAAGTAAATCTAAACAACTTTTGAATAACTCAGGGCAATTACCACCACTTTGTTTGGTCTAGCTTCAATGTACATGGCCAACATTAATCTCAATTCCTCACAATAACACTCTAATTACTATTTTTATAGCAATTTGTGCTGTCCCAGAAAACTAGACCAATTTTTTTAAAGTTAAGCTATTCTAATACTGTACTAATTGTACTTAATCTATTGCTTATTATGTTGTAATGAGTAGATTGTAGTTTATATAACATTTTATACTTTWACCTTGAAAATTAAACAATAAGGACCAGTAACTACTGATAAGGATCGTTGTGGATCATTACAGGGCCAGGAACAATCATGCATTTACAATATACAGTATAATGATCATTATATAGGATCAGTATTACATTTAAAGAATCTAGAATGACCAATAATAGTACCTACAAAGACCATTGGAATAGGGACTATTATTTAGAACCAGTAAGGTCCAGAAATTAAGGACAACCTGAAACATAGTTCATTTTAGAGGGGAAGCCATATTGATGTTTTTACTAAAACATGCTGAAACTGCAAAATGCAGCTTTGTTTAGATGCTCCGAGTTTGACTGTGAGCAATTTAGATTGCTGCTGTTATTAATGATTTATGTCATAAGCAATCGTTCAAAAGTAAATGTACCAAAAAAGAGAAGTTTTTCTTTGTAGAAAAAAGTAATTTAGTATTTTGTAGGTGATAGTGGGCAATAAATTTAGAACTTTACCTATTCTTTCATAGTTTCGGCACTGATGTGTAAACATACTTTTGTTTAGTCATTGATCCAATAGGCGATTTGCATTATGGCGTCATTTACTACAACTACCAGAATGCTTTGCCCACTTTCTTTTGTAATGCAATTAGTGCCAATTGTTTTACTAATCGCTAAGGGGATTAAAAATCTGAATAACAAAGAAAATGTGCAAGGCTTTCTGGTAGTTGTAGTAAAGTTACGCCATCATGCAAATGGCCTATTAGCACCTTTATACCAGACAAGATAGCACAACCAAAAAACTGTGATTCTGCTATAATCAAGACATAAGTATTGAAACCAGAAAACTGCTCTACCAGTGAACACTCTCTGTCAGTTATACTTTGTTATGCGTTAGTAGAGGGAGAAGTTTGTTATAGTTATTGTACGACAAGGCATATAAAATATGCACCTTAATTATTACACCAATAAACTTTGAAAAATGTAATCGTCAATAAACCTGTAATCAAKGATAGTCACCTCGCTGTATCACTGTTTATAATAGTTAAACTCATTGATTGCTAAATTTGGCCTTGCATACCTGAGGACAGAGTGCAAACAATAGGAAGTTCATGCCCCTAGCAAAGACAATAACCAGCTAGTTCACTCTAAGCACACACTGGCCATATACAAGATGGATGGGGAAGGGAGTGGGAGGGAGGAGGACTCCGGGATAAAACTACCGGGGTTGCTCGTTGAATTTTTTAAAAAGACCCCTAAAAGATTAGATCCCGGAATTCTTAAAAAAGGCGAGGCTGACTGATTTTTAACCTCTATAAAGAGATTGCATGCACAACAAATATTGTCAAATTGAATCAGTTACAATGATAAAATGCATAAAATATTTAATGACAAAACAAAACGCAGAGGAAAATTAAAATCGATGCGCCCTTTAGCTCTTCCTCGTTTCTGACACCCTAAGAGATTGCAAAAAAAATGCAAATTTCCAGAAACTGCAATCAGAGATCCGACCAACATCCACGGTACTTTTACCTCGGAGTTCGGTAGCCTATGCTTTATCACGGTGTTTGTCGAAGATGTCTTCAAGTGGCAATTATGGTTATCACGTTCAAAAATTTGCCAAAAATCAAAACTGATAAAAGTTAACGGTCATTGTTAATAATACATTGATTACATGATAATAGACAGAGAGGATATCGCTAGATCAGCTCTTTCTATATTCAAATCGCCTATTCTCGGAGGTCTCTAAAACGTTGCAGACATGCGTGACACGTTTTGACGACCGTGCGCTCAACTTCAGGAGAATATCGCGTGCGTGTGAATTCTATATGCTGCAACTCGAGTAAACCCTCTGCAAGTCTCTAATTCAGTTGATATCTCCCCCATTCTCTCTCAAAGCAATGTTCAAGACCATGAACATCCATGTAACGTTTCTAGGCGCGCGTAGCGTCCTTTACGTATATATACACACGTGCATAATAGTGGCAAGGAAATGTTAAAATTTCCACATTACTTAAAAATTCACATAAAATTGATCCCTTTTATATGCCCTCGATATCTCTCAAAACGCTGGAAATCGCATTTCCAAGAGTTATTATTTCAAAATTTCCTAGAAGTCCAGAATACCTTATAATACTCCCGCCTTTGGTGGTCGTTAGACCCCCAGATCCAAAATATGTGTCGCGATATCCCTGACATGTGCGTATTAGCCAAAAAGTCCACGCGCGCCTGGTTTCCTGCCATCCCAACACTTGCATGCCACAACATGTGTGCACCATTATGCATTGGGGGCCGCGAGAGCCGGGAGTCGGTCATTTTCAGTTTACCGAAAGTCTATAAATTGTACTCTGTGTTTCGAATCTTTGACCATCTCACTTTTCTAAACACTTTTTAAAAACGCTAATATAAGAGTTTTTTTTCAACCACCTGAAATTCGTTTTACGGTGATATTTGGATACTAGTAGTATTTGTATAGGTAATGTTTTGTAGTGGTATTTAGGATAAATACCACGCGTGATATTTCAAAATTGTTAAACAAATTTGTGACAATTTCGAAATATCACAAGCTATTATTTGTTTATAAAATTTGGTTGAATAAAATTGTGCAATTTGAAACACCACTATTAAGGATAAATACCACTCCTCTAAGCCAATCAAATTGCACAATTTTATTAACGATATTATAATGGTGTAAATCGATCATAACAATAACAGAGCCGCGCAAAGCATAATGGTGCAAACTAAACACTGGACAAGATACAAAGATTGTCAAAAACCCGAATCCTCTACTCGGCTAAGCAAARAGAAGAGACACTTTGGGTGATTTATAATAATTCATATTTCGAAGCAGATGTTGATTGAAATAAAAAAATTCTTTCTGTAATGATAAAACTTCTACATAAAAAAGCTAAAGATGATCAAGTAAAATATATTGAGTGAAACGTTTTGATAACAACTTTCACTACTATATGTTGTGCAGTTATGCCGATCATACTATGACAATCATGTCGTAAAATAKTCTTTGGTACCTTTTTTTGTGTGTGAGATAACATGAAGAATGTGCAGATGTGATGCTTGGCAATGCAGAACCTCGGAAAGGATTACAAGAGCAGAGTCATTCTTCTTCTTCATGATATCTCATATGCACTACTTGTAATAATTGTTCAATTTAATTCGTCTTTGACGCTTTTTGAATTGGAATATTTAACTACAGTTTGGAGCTAAACAGTGTTGTGATAATTGGCCATTGGGTATTCCCAATCATCATTTTAGAGAATATCTCTAACGTAATGAAATGATAGCATCACGTCCCCATTGCTCTAACAGTTGTACATACTTCATCTAGGGCTTCATTCACACCACACACAACTTTGTTTATCCGTTCCATGTCTATGGCTGTGAAATTACGGCCAACAGTTTGTAACACAGAGTCAAGGTCATTGTACTTAGACTCGAACTCACTGACTGTACGTCGAAACTTAAATCTCGCTTGTGGAGACAGTGAATCAGTCATTGATGACAATGATTCCTTGACACGTAGAGAAAGCTGAAGGAAATCATCAATGARGTCACTGAGATTCTCGCCTTCTCTAGCTCCAGTGAGATCAATAATTTCCTGCGCTTTACTCTGACCTTCTACAGTTAGTTTCAAGATTTTTTGACCTTGCGGTGACAGCTTTTTATCTAGAGTTCCAACATGAGGTTTTTTGGGTAAACTTGGCTTGTTGGATGGTGGTTTTGGTTTGGAAGGGCTTGATTGTTTTGAAGGTGTTGTKGGTCTATGCGATGCTGGAAATGATCCTCTTCGTGGTTCACTTGGTGATTTCAAACTTACTCGCAGCGCAGAATCTGGTAAGGAGTCATCCAACGAGTCTTGTGAAGATTGCCGGTCGTCATCAGACATGGCGTCTGTGCGCTTTGGACGTACACGAGGGAGTGGTTTTGGTTTCCCACTCCATGTATGGCTTAGTCCTCKCTTTTCAGTATTGATGGCAGCAGAGAAATCTTCGTCTATAGATTGYTGGGGGAACGCAGATCCYCCTGGGGGTGGGGGAGGTTTATTTCGCGGTCTAGGRACTGGACTGGTATTTTTGCCGAGCTCATCATTTGATTTTGACCTTGATGGCTTTGGAGGAGCCACTTTCAATGGTTTACCATCCGGCAGAGACTTGTTTTCCTTGAGAGGTGGTTTCAAAGCTGGTTTATTAGGAACAAACGGCATTTTTGGTGTTTTRACCACWGGCTTTTGTTCTGCAGGTTCATTGAATGAGGGCTTATTGTCAGGTGTTGGAGGAAGAGGCATTTTTGGTGGCTTTGTGACAGAATGACTTTGAGGAGAACCTGGCAAAGGCATYTGTGGCCGCTGCTGTGGATTTGTTGTTGTTCCWGGTAATGGWCGAAGAGCCTTTGGTGTTTCCTCTTTCTCTTTCTTTGGTGTTCTACTAAGAGACATTGTACCAAGTTCTTTGATAACATTACTCATTGGCARGCTTCCTTCTGGTGGGAGAACCATCTTYTTCTCTGAAYTTTTACCTTCCTCTTTASCTGATGCAGGTCTTGCCGGAGGTTCAGGGGGAGGACCTAAGACATCAGGGGCATTTTTTCTTCCCAAGGTGCCTTTGTTCTTTACTTCTTTCTTGGTTTTCTGAGCTTCAGTTTTTTGTGATGTAAGTGTCCCGTTGCTGCCATTTTCCTTTGATTTTTGCTTTTTACTCTTCTTGCCTTTCTTTGGAATCGAGTTGCTCTTCTCAAGAGCCTTTTCAACTTCTGCAATGTCAAAACAAAA